GACAAATTTCTTCAGTGTTTCTCCCAACATCCACATTTTCGCGTGAAACCTTACGTCATTCAGATTTTCTGGTATGTGATTGGTCTGTTCAATAGACCGCGACCAAACCGCAAGGACAATGAGAAAGGAATGTAGTTCGGTTGTCAGCAGCCGTTCTTTTGGGGGAGCGTTGCGTGACATCCAAAACAAACGGCTGCGAGAAAGACCAGCGGCACACTGCCCGGGAGGTGATGACTGGTTGTTTACGACTCTGTGTAACTTTGTCAGACGGCATTAAATACTCGGGCTCCAAGTTCGAGCTGCACACCCACTCTTGTGTATAAGTCGTGAATTTAAATACGAAGATGCATATTTTGATAGAGAATTGGAGTATTTAAAATACAAGGATAGAGCTTTAAGGTGGCGTATATTATGATTTGTAAATATATAGGGCAGACCTATTCATAGGCCACTGAAGTTGACCTCTATTTTAACTCTGCGAAAAAGACGCAAAGTACTTTAATTCAACGGGACACTATTCAGACTTAAACGTAACAACATAACAAGAAATTAATATTTTCACTAAGGGATAAAAGGACCATCTGCTCACACAAAATATAAAAGGGGGATTGCATCGCGTTGTAGCGTACGAAGTTGCCGAAGATGAGAATTTTTCATTGCTTTACAGTGGGGGACAACGGCCATCTGGGTTTATTTGAACTTTTCGATTTTTTGGAAGAAAAAAGCGCGATATAACTTTTTGATATAATTTTCGAACTGAAGGTTCCTTAAAAGGGCTCTTTAGAAAAAAAGGAATGACGATATTTTGCAACTGTCGGCGGATTCTCGATATTTGTGGTCAGTGGCCCTTAATGTTGGCGAAGATTTTCTGATTAAGAGATATCTGCTTTCAAAAAAAAAGGTTTTGTATATATATAAAAAAGCTATTTTTGTGGAAATGAGGTTTAAATGATACGAATCTGGTCATAATATTTGACGGCTTTTCACTTGGTCTTTTCTTGTTTGCCACTGAATTTGCAACGTAAAAAGGCCTCGATCATTAGATATTGTTCACATCAGTCAGTGCGCTCGTGAAAGTGCCTTTACTTCCTGCAGTTGCCTAGACTGCGATTTACTCTTTATCAGTCTGGTATGCATCGCGTAGAATGCCTGGACGTCATCAATTATTCATGAGCCCTGAAGCAGGAGATTTGAATGCAATCGCGCCTTGAAAAGCCGTTGATAAAACTCGCTCTCCCAAAAGTTTCCAAATTCCGCTGCATCGATCCGAAAGCCACTCCGTTTTACCATCCATTCTAGCAAAATCGCTTTGTAGGTACGCGTAATCCTTTTGCCCTTACTGCGGGATTCAAATATAAAAGCTTGGCGACCACGTCTGTCGAATAAATGACAATCTTTAGGGGAGGGTCGTCACTTAGTGCGGATAGTTTTGCTAGAGGACAAAGGTGACGACCCTCCCTTGGGAGAATGTCTTCAAAGGCGAACGATTCGAAAAGGACGCAATCCTTGATCTGCGCACTCAACAAACTGAGACATTTCAGTATACACACAAAAAAGTTCCTGTCACCCACAAGGAGTTATAAAAGGCTTCATAAAAGGGGAGGCCCTTAGACTTCTCAGAACAAACTCCTCTCAAACGATATTCCTGGAGAAAATTGCAAATTTCAAAGCGCATTTGCTAAAGAGAGGCTACCCAGAGGACCTCATTAACACAACCCTCTCAGAGGTGAATTTCTAAAACAGGAAATTAGCTCTTCAACTGAAACCGAAGACGAACCAACGAATCTTGCCTTTTGTTACACAATACCAACCATCAGTACCACACATAAAGCAAATTTTCATGAAAAACTGGCATTTAATAGAAACACAACCACTACTGAGAGAACTATACAATTATCGCGTGTCAAACTCGATACGCTTTTGTCCGCTTTGGCTTTCCATACTATTCTAAACACGCGCTCGGGAGTCGTGTAGGCCTGTCAACCCCATTTAACACATTTTTTTTTTTTTTTTGTAATTTTTCCTATTTTACAGTTGACCGTTGACACCGCACACGTTACAAAGCAAGTCGCCAAAACAGCATTAAAACGACCGTTTTCAACAAAGGGGCTACGGAAAAAAAGGTAAGGAGACTTCGCATGTTTTATTCCTCGCTTTTATCATCCTTTGAAATTTTTTCTTCTTTGTTTTTTCAAATTTGTCCTTTTTTTAATGATCTACACGTACGCTTGAAATTCGATCTTAATAGGTTAATTATTACCGTTAATGCACTTTGCACCCAAAGTCACACACAGTATGCTTGGGGCGCCTGTGCTTTTTCCAATTCTCTCTTTTTGTCTCGCCACAAGCGAAAATTGACTTTTGACTAGACCACCCGTGTAGACATACGTGCATAGATTACATTACCTAGGTTAGTTGACCACTCCCCATGGGGGCTTTTCAGGGCCTTCCCACCCATCCTACCCCAGGGAGGACATCCACGACACAGTAATCTCGTGCGTGGGAAATTAACGCCTCCTAGCCCTGCAGGAGACGGGGCCTACGGTTTATTCGTCCTTATCCGAGAAGACTAGAACATCTATCCATTTCTTGATTATAGAATAGAAGCAAATTCTCCTCCCTTATTTTAAGACCATGAGTATTGGTCCGGCCGGGGCTCGAACCCTCGATCTCCCGCACAACACAATCGG